AAAAAAAAGGCTGAGAAGTTAGAAGGTTGACATGTTGTGGGGTTGTTAACCAATGTCATAAAACAATATGTGTACTACTGTTTCATGAGAAACTATCTGTCCTGTAAGCCTTCACCTGAAGTACAATAAAAATAAATAAATTTAAAAAAAAATCTGCAAACACACAAAAAAAACCATTAAGTTTTAGACAAAGGCATAAAACTGGATATAGACAACCCATACATTTTTCTCTGATTAGCTGCCCACTCCTGGTCTTTACACGTGAATAAACAGCATGAACTTTTCTATTACATGTGATACAAAAAGCGTCCTAATTTTCTCCCCTTTCATACTTAACCTCTGAAAACGAAACAGATCAGAAATCTTTCAGTGGCAACTTTATCAGCTATGATGAGACTCACTTTCAGGAAAATAGTCAACTTACTCTCAGTTCACAATCAACTTTGGCAAAGAGACTAAGAGACATAGAACTGGAAGTCATCAATTGCCCTTATCTTTGCTAAACAATAGGAAATGGTTCTGGAAAGAACAGGGCCAACAGAAGGTTCTCCATTATCTGGCAACAGCTAGGCACCCTAAAAACAAACCCACCTCAGGCTCTTCCTAAAGAATCTAATTCACTTACTCTGGAGAATGAGATACTTGAAGGGGTATTTGGATTAGAGGATAATCAGGGCCACAGGATATATACAGATGTTGGCTTAGCAACAATATTTGATTAGCACTATACAACTTATGGTGTTTGTTCTAATGCATTATTTTGTTTAATACAACACTCCTTGTGAAGCAGGTAGGCTGGACATTATCTGCATTTAATATATGAAGAGATAAACCCATATCAGGTGTGATTTGCTAAAGATTACACAACTTCTAAATGGTACAGTTAAAGATTCAGACCCAGGTCTTCTGACTAAAAATTCCTACTCTTTTCATTTCTCCATCACATTTAACAGCATGTGGCAATTTCTTGAGCTCTCAATAAATCAACTTATGATGTAGCCAATTATCTGGCACTGCTAGGCAGCCTGGATCACCAATTCCAAGTCTCTCTTAACATGGAAAACGCAGTTTTTCTGAAGCATTAGGGTAGAAACTGACGCCCCAGCTGTTTCTGTCCACTAAGTACAGGCAGTCCCCGGGTTACGAACGTCCGACTTATGTACGATCCACAGTTACCTGCCAATCCCTGCAAAGCCTCTTATATTAAAAATTCAAGGTACGTGCGAGGGTTCATGATAACTAACGGGCACTACTTTGTGACGCTCATCAAAACATTATTACTGTATTATTATGCTGAAGATGTTTTAGTGTATCTGGAAGTGTTTCTTTAATGTTTTTTATGCATAGAAAGGTACCCTATATACTAAGACAAACATCTGACTAACTGATGTTAGATACGAACCATAGCTAACTGTTCTGACTTCTGTACAAACTGGACTTAAAGACAGACTTAGGAAGGGAACTCGTTCGTAATCCAGGGGACTGCCCGCAGAAGGATCAGCGATCGATTTTAGAGGACAGTAGTGGGCTCTGATGACAGCAGTCAGAACAGTGGTTCTGAGGCACAGGCAGAGGCTGGAAGAGGCACGAGGGAACCCGTGGGTGCTGGGAAATGTCCGAAACGTGGCGGGTACGTGGTGATCGCCTACGCAGAAGCTCATCAAGCAGTGCACTTAGAACAAGTGCACTTCACTGGACATACGTCATCCCTCAAGAGAAAAAGAGGAACATCTCTGAAAGGGGCTTCTCGTTCACCTGACATGGTGCTTTAGACGTCAGACATGCAGAAAATGATACGTGATTGGCTACGTGAACACTGACGCGTCTGCGCCAGGATAAGGTACAGAGGAAACGCGTGCAGGGAGACGAGATTAGCTCTGCCACACACAGTGCAGAAGCAGCAAGGTCGGGTATGAAATCATCCCGGTAACTCTAGAATTTCTACTCAATACAGTTGCACACTGTTCCAGCAGCGCTGCTTTCCAGCTCAGAGGGCTGCAGGAGGGTTTTCAGAAGGAAAGGGGGCAGAGGGTAGAGAAGTGTAGTCACAAGGCTTAAGGGTCTTGGCATCACTGCTTCTCCTCCAGGTTAAGTACGCTTCCCTCTAAAAAGCACGTCCCTGCCCACGTTGTTACAACCACTCCTATGTCAACTTCCCCCTCCCCTCTGTAGTAACAGCTACCATTTATTCTGCACCAACTGTGTGCCAGGGACTGAGTTAAGTGCCGGGCTCCCAAAGACAAACGCCGAAGTGACTAGAATTTGGCGAGAGGGGCTCTGAAATGGGGCCAGACAAGCCGCACCTCAGCTAGGGAGGCAGAACCAAGCCTCCCAGAGAAGCCCGTGTTTAAGGACATTCTAGTTGTGCGAGAGCCAGAGGGGGTAACATGTTAAAGGCGCAAGGGTATAAGAGAGGTGGTTTTTTCAAGGGATGCTAACTATGTAACGGCACGAGGGGAGCGGGGTATTTTTAACGGGAACACATGGGAAAGCCTCTTGTGGGGGAGGAGAACGGTGGCCTGTACTGAGAGCACCAGGAATGGAAAAGGGAAGACGCAGGAGACTTCCAGGAGGCAGACTCAAGGACTTGATGACTGTGAGCGTGAGAGACAAAAAGAACAGAACAGATTTTGAGGTTCCCAGTAAACATCTCGGGTGGTGGGGTGAACGGTAATGCCTTTCGTGAAAGCAGAGAAGGCGAGAGTAGGAGCCCCATTCATGGGGGCGTTCTGGTAGTGTGGGAGAGCTGAGGCTGTGGGCATCGAGGAGACTGCCCGCAGGAAACAGAACCAAATGAAGGCTGAGGATGAGAGTCCAGAAAACAAGCCAGTGTTCGGGAGGGATCTTGCCGACCTTGGGAACAAATAGGGCTGTCCGAGGAGGGAGCGGTCGACAGGGTAAAAGGCTATGGGGAGACCAGGCAGGGAGGGACTGATAAAGAGACACTAGATTTGACAGTGGGGGGTCTCTGTCACCTCTCTCAAACATCCTAAGAAAACAGTAGGCTCTGAAGATGGGTTGCTAGGCTAAGGACTGACGGGAAGGTAGGAAGTGGAGGCCGAGAGCATCTCAGAAGTCTGGATGTGATGGGGAGGAGCACGGGGGTGGTGGGAAGGACCTTTTGTCTTTCTTTTTATGCTAGATTAGACATTTAGCACGTTTATAAAAGACGAGAAGTGCTAAGTGGTGACAAGGACACAGGACAGGACAGAGGACTCGGTGCACAAGTGGAGCTCAAAAGGAAGGAGGACACCCTCTCCTCAGACACTGAAAGCGTGGTCGTATGAGGACAGGCTAACTATAAACGTGTAGAGACAGAGAGGAAGCAGGTTGCCAAGTTCTTTTTAAATTATAAAATAAATTCTATGATCAGTAAATAGCACCTGAAACATGAAAAATCCATTGTAAATACTCTAAGCACAGGCATACCAAACCCGACTCATAGCAACCCTACAGGACAGAGCAGAACTGCCCCACGGGGTTTCCGAGGCTGTACTCTTCTGCCACATCTTTCTCCGGCAGAGCGGGTGGTGCCTTTGAACCGCCGACCTTTCAGTTAGTGGCCGGGGGCTGAACCACTGGGCCATCAGGGTTCTGCACACATGTTCAGAGAAAGCCACTGCCCATCAGCCAGCATCTGGAGTTACCCTGGGTTCGTATTTTGAACAGGAAGGAATTGTGCCTTCAGGCTTTTCTTTCTTCCTGGTAAATTACAATCTGCGTTGTGTGCTTCTGATTTTTAAAATGACAGAGATGTTTCCTTTTGAAATCATAATTTCTGATAAATATTAAGGATACCTGGTTAGGTGTCTTGAATCTTTTTCTTCTGCTTCCTGAGCTATCCTGACCTTGAGTCTCATCGATCCAGACACCACGCTTCAGGCCCAGAGATGAGCTCATCTCCCTGCCTGCTCTCCTTGCGGTTTTCCAGATCACTCAACTCAACAATTTTTTTATATGGTGTTCACGCATTCCCCATTTTGACTGACTGGGCTAATTTTAATTGTTCCAGTAAATTTACGGTGTGGTTGGACACTGTGTAACTGAAATGGTTCATTGCTTCTAGCTGGAAATATGCTCAACATTTAGGGGAGGTTCTAGCTGTAAGTAAACTAGGTCTTTAATATGTTAGTTACTTAGCATCATGACAATTTGATCGGCAATTAGGATTATTGCCCAAATTCTACCATCATTTTGCCATTGGGATTATTTGCTTTCAAATAGTTTGGATTAACATTATTGATCACAACTGTAAAAATTATAATCATTTAGTAATTAAAGCTATTCTTTGTTTAATAAAGTTTTATTAATAGTACTTTGAATGTTCAATAAATATTTACTGAGTGCTTAATAGAGGCAGACACTGTTTTAGACACTGGGGACTCAGCAGTAACCAAAACAGACAAAGACTTATGCCTTCATGGAGCTTATATTCCATACAGGAAAACAAACAGTATACAAACAAGTAAAATGATTAATCAGTCCAATGGTGGTAAGCGCTATGGATGGGTGCTGCTGTCTTCCCCAGTGCTGATCAGGTAATGGCTGAGCGAGGCCTGAAGGATAGCAGGGAGTGAGCGACGCATGGACTAGGGGAAGAGCAGGGGAAGCAGAGGGAAGACCACGTGGAGAGCGTCTGGGGCAGGAACACGCCTGGTGCTTCTGAGGAGCAGCGGGGAGGCTGGGGAACACCAGTGGACGAGGCAGGAGCGGGGGTGCGGGCCTGCTCATTTTAAGGACGTTGGCCTTCACTCTGAATGAGCTCCACGCCACTGGATGGCCCCAAGCAGATGAACGACATGATCTGACTTATTTTAACAACAACAACCCTGGCTACTTTATAGAGAAGAGACTGGAGAGGCACCATGGTGTAACGAGGGTTTTGGAAGACTGCGACTTCAGTCCGGCAAGAGATGACAGTGGCTGGGAACGGGGTGCTTATAACAACAGGGATCAGAAGAGCTGGTCAGCTTTGGGTATTCTGAGGGAACAGCCTACTGGAGTTGCTGATGGACTGGCTATGGGATATAAAAGAATGACAAGAATCAAGAATGACTCCAAGGTTTTTGGCCTAAGCAACTGGATGCATGGCACCGCCACTTACTGAGTGGGGGAGACTGAAGGAGAAGCAAGCCTGGGGGAGAGATCGGGAACTCAGTTGTGGATCTACTGCATTTGAGCTTTATTAGGTTTCCAGGTAGAGATGTCAAAACCCATTTGGGAAGGGGTTATCTTTGTTATGTTAATGAGGCAAGATTCGTGTGGGTATATCTTGAGTCAATCTTTTTTGTGATATAAAAGAGATTAAACAAGAGAGCAGAGCAGAGATGGGGGAAGACAGATGCCAAGACACATGGAGATCGCCCAGGAGCAGAAGCTCAGAAGAGACAAGGACCTTCTTCCAGACCTAACACAGAGAGAGAAAGCCTTCCCCTAGAACTGGCACCCCAAATTCAGACTTCTAGCTTCCTAAACTGTGGGAGAATAAATTTGTTTGTTAAAGCCATCCACTTGTGGTATTTCTGTTATAGCAGCTCTAGATGACTGAGACAGAATTTGGTGCTTGTGTGTCCGTGTGTGTGTGTGTGTGTGTGTGTGTCCGTGTGTGTGTGTGTCCGTGTGTGTGTGTCCGTTTGCGTGTGTCCGTTTGCGTGTGTGTCCGTTTGCGTGTGTGTCCGTTTGCGTGTGTGTCCGTTTGCGTGTGTGTCCGTTTGCGTGTGTGCGTCCATGTGCATGCACACGTGCACAGGCACAAATCTAGAATTCAGGGGATAGGTCTTGGGGGAGTTGAGAGCATACAGATGGCATTTAAAGAAATGAAATTAGAGAAGATCACACAACAAAGAGGAGGGGTCCAAAGAAGCTTCTTCCCCTTAAAAACACAGGTGTAAAGCTAAAATCACAAGCAATTTTAGAGGTCTGGATTGAAAAAGTCCAAACCGTGGAGACCCTCCCATACCGCAAAAGCTCACGTTAACTGCCTCCTGCCAACCTAGCATTTTAAGGAAATCTTGATTTACATGTAAATCTAAGAAACTCCAACAAGCCTCAGAAAACCCCTTAGGGGTCACCTTGGCCACGGGCCTCAAAAATAATAAGGAATTTATTTTTCCAATGACATAGCCATTACACGTTTTACCTTAAATTTGCTTGAAAGCAAATATCAGTTAATTTGTTTAACTAACAATACATTAATACATTATAAAAGAAGTATAAAAAAGTATATTCAGAAAAGCTTTTTGTGCTAACATTCTCCTCGGTGAGTGCCACACATGGTACCGGGTCACGTGTTTCAAAAGAAGAAACAGTAAAACCCCTTTAAATTTCTACTTTTGAATTTTTCTTCTACGACAGTTTTCAGCTTTGTATTCTATATGCCCAAAGTTTTATATTTCTCCCTGAAAAAGACGTTTTTGGACTATCATCCCTCAAAAATAAAACAAAACGAAAAACAAAACCAACAAAACACTATGTGTACCCCTATTATAATCTTCGTCAGACAAATATAAAATGCTGCATCCTAAGTAGGTAATACTAAAATGACTGCAAACATTTTAAAGGACTTCAATCTTAAATCACCATTTAAACCTTGCAAGTTATACTTGAAAAAATTCATATGCAAACGAGTCACCCAGCTGCTCATTTGGCATGGTGCTGATACCTGAGTACTGGCCACTCTGAACGAAGCCGTGGCTGCCTGGGTTAGTGCTGTCTGCGGCTCCGGACTCATGTATCAGGCCATTACTGGCACAGCCGAAGCTGGATCCCTCAAACGCGTCTGGCTGTGAGACAAAAGCCGCAGCAGTGGAACTGGCGCCCGACCCACCGGACGAGGCCATCGGACAGAGCTGTCTCAAGTTTCTCGGGTCCAACACGGAAGTACAGGTGGGGCTGTCAAGATGCATGCTCACAAGTCGATGGTTATCCGTCTCCCTCATGCTCTCGTTACAGGACGCCATCATATCCACAGAGCAATCAGACAGCATACTGGCATCAGAAATACCATACAAGTCGGCTGGTGACATGGATGAGGCTTCCATGCGGCCTATGTCATTAGAATTGCTGTAAACGCAGGCGCTAGAAGCATTTAAATCACTCGCCAGAGGAATTCCCAGGAACGGGGGGATGGCTTGTGAATTAGAGGAAAGTGTTGCTGTGGAAAAGCTATTTGGCGGATTTGTGCTGACTGACTGGGAGCTGGGGCGGGCCACGGACGGCCAGCTGGAGGAAGGCGACGACATCATGGAGGACGCGGCCGAGCCGTGATGTGGCAGAGCCCTGGAGACGGACACAGGCGGGGAATAGTAGGGCTCTGCTTGACTCGAGGGCCTGGGTGTTTCTGTCGCAACTGCACCAGGAGAAAACAAGTTTGGCTCTGTGGGGGGAACACATGTATTTTTATACAACTGAAAGAAACAAAATTATAAAAACCATCATTTCTGAATTAAAATTATATAACACACACTAATGTAATTTTCGAGGAAACTGACATAACATTTCAAATAACAGCATTTATGTTTATTTTTGTTATTTATGGTACAGCACAGTCCCAAAACTATATTCTGTAATCCTTACTGTTTTATAAATACGTGTAAGATAACTTTGGTAAACAATTTTGGCATATATAATTTCACCCAGTTAAATATGAAAATTCAGCTTCTGAGGCCCCTTAAAAGTATTTTTGAAAGGTGAAAGATAAACATCAGAATTCCCATTAATGGGAATCCAAACGGCCAAAATCATCTCACTCTGCACTTTCAGGAGAAAATGGAGGGATGGAAGAAACACTCATTAGGGTTGATTTATAAATCTACATAACTTCCAAGATATATTAAGATAAACCCTAAGGTACTACAAAATCCCCAGTCGTAAAAAAAAGGAGGATTCTGTGTTCACCTACATATTATCTGAATGTTATACATACTAAACCAGGAAAAAGCGCTGATTTAAAAACATAAGGAAGAAAAGATTTCTAATGAATCCTTGGTTGGACCATCTAAACCTGGGCTGGCAAACCTTCCCAGTAGTGGGCCAGGTAGTGGTCGACATTTTGGGCTTTGAGTGCTCTCTAGCCTTGGTTGCGAGCATACAACTCTGCTGTTGTAGTGCAAAACAGCAGCCACAGACAGTATGGAATCAAACAAGGTGCTGTGCTCCAGTAAAACTTTATTTATAAAAATAGGCGGCCGGCCAGATCTAAACAATTTTTTCCATAACACACTAAAATTAATAAAATTATCACCATATGATGCAATGTAATTTCTCCAACAATAAATCCCAAGGACATAATCGGTTTCCACTAAGACCTCTGGAAGCCAACCTCAATTCATTCAATACTGAAAGCATGAAAAAACTAGGATGGAAAATATCAGAGGAGTGGTTATTCCTTCCTGTAAATGGAATTCCAATATACTGCGCAAAATGCTGGTCTTTCTGATCGCGAGGAATACTCTATGGGGGAAAAACATACCTTTTTTGATGAATCGTCCTTCTGTGGTTGATCCCAGGGGGCCAGGTCTTGGTCCTTCAGGAAAATTACCTCCTATGATAAAGTTTTTATATTACAAGAGGTAACTTGAAAAATAATCTTATCAGTTAAAATTTAAAAAAACAGAATAAAGCATAGAAAACAAACTCCACTTAAATACCAATCCACCGCAGGCGTTCTTACCGCAGTCCTGCCACAGCTTGTGGAAAAGCAGAGTTGTCTTCTGTTTCTTGGCCTTATTACCGTACGTGTCTGTGCGGAGAGGAACACGGAAAGCATGTGAATCACCACAGGATTATGCTTCTTCCCCATTAATCAATTCACAGGTGGATTATTCATACATGGGGCCCTGGTGGCGCTGTGGTTAAGAGCTCAGCTGCAACCAAAAGGTCGGCAGTTCAAATCCACCAGCCACTCCCTGGAAACCCTATGGGACAGTTCTACTCTGTCTTATAGGGTTGCTATAGTTGGAATTGACCTGACAGCAACGGGTTTGGTTTTGGTTGGTTTTATTCATAGATAGAAAATGCTTTCAATGAGCACAATACAGATTTAACGAATGTTGCAGAGTATGTCCCAAGTCAGTAGTAAAAGGTATTTTTCTCTTGGTTAAAAAACAGCTAAAACATTCCCCTTGTTTTCTTACAACCCCTGTGTCACTGACGTCGACTAACACGGTCAGGTAAGACAGGGACCAAACAGAGACCACCCTCTGCGTGGTAAGTCTCTCAATCATAAAAAGGGCACAATATGGGCCAAAATAGACCCCCAAAAATGAAGTAGAAATTTTGATAAACATTTTAGACACTTTAAAATTACTCCAGATTAACTGAACCTCTTACCCAAGAAAGGGATGCAAAGGACATACAGATGAACCAGTCAGTCAAAAACCAACTGAAAACCTCCAGGAAAAGAAAAATTACGGACACTCATAACTGTATTCAAATGTATCTTACAAGAAAAAGTTATTAGCAGGACCAACTTCTGAAAAGTATTTAAAACCTTGCCACCAAAAAGTCATACCTTTTTCATCCGGCAGGTATCTAAAATCCATAGACTCACTAACTTCCTGGTCAGACGGTCTCCTCAGCTGCATCTTCACTGTTACTGGTTCTGTTATAGCTTTGCAATATGGCGGAGTCTTGAAAACAATGGCCACTTGACGGTGTACATCAGCTTGTGAAAAGATACCTTTTGCTTCCCAATCGTTCAACACAAAACGAACTTCTATGTCATCTAATGAATAAGAAACCAGAGAAATAACAACAATGGGAAAACAAAGTAAAATGCATCTATTCATCTAAAATATACTTAGAATTCAATGAAGTAAAACACATAAATACCTTTCTGAACTTTGTCACAGAGTAGAAATATTTCATCTCCTCCTCTGACACTTCCACAGTTCTTGTTTACACGACAAATCCTTAATTCTGCGGTATTAGGAGCACCTAAGTATGAAGGATTTTTTAAAAATGGGTTTCTACCTTAGTAATATATTCTATCCCTTTTTAGGAGAAGAATTTTAGGAAAACAATTTGCAGAACAGATTAAACAAATGGAGAGTACATAGATAAATTAAGGACACTAACCACATTAATTATCCACGGCTATTCCTTTCCATCCTAACTGCATTGCCACCCCTGGTTTTAAGCCTGTGATTTCATTTCTAGGCAATAACATGTCCTCTAATGAAATCTTCCTGCTTCTAGATTTGGATTCTTCCAACCCATCCTACACACTGTCACCACATTAATCTTTTAAATCACAGCCATTTCAGTAAGGGAATACAAGAATACAGTTTTCATGCTTCCTACTATCTTGCCAGTAAGATTCCAACAACTCTCCTTGGCATTCAAGGTTCTCCATGATAAGGACACTCTGATTTACCTTTATAGCCTTGTGCCCCACTATCCTTCTACATGCAAAACTGGCACGGTCATGCAACGCTCGTGAAGTATACAGAAGCGTGTGTGTACACACGTATGTCTTCTGGAGGGCAACTGCATGATGTTTGGAAACTCAGATATAGTCAAAAAGCAGAAACCACCTAAGTATTCATCAACAGATGAATGAATAAACGACATGTGCTATACATACAATAGAGTATTATTTAGCTGTAAAAGGAATGAAATTCTAATATATGCTACAGCATGGAAGAATCTTGAAAAAATTACGCTAAACGATGCAAGTTAGTCACAAAAGGGCAAACTAACATATGAGTCCGCTTAAATAAACTATCTGGACTAGGCAGATACCCAGAAAGTTTTCAGAAAGCAGAATATTTTAGAAACAGGTGGTAGGTGGTTGCACAAGATGGTGAACGTCATTAACATCACTGAATCAGACACTTAAAAATGGTTAGAACGGAAAATGTTGTTCTATGTCTTTTACCACAATAAAATAAGGAAAAACAAACCTCCACAAACTACAGTGATATTTTGATCTAGCAATCTAGCATTTGCCAACATTTCCACTTCTACAAGTTTACTCTAGAGAAATATCTGCATGAGATCCTGTAACAGGGTAATAATTTAATAAAATTATGATACACTCATATAATGAAATACATTGGCTACTGAAAAGGTAATTGAAAGGGAAAGATATATTGGTAAGAGAAAAAAAGTTTACAAAAAGGTCAGTGATGACTTTTTAAAAAGTTGCCAAAAATATATTGTGTAAATGATGATGATGATGTATGTGAATACATATGAAGAATAAACTGAAATCTACACCTGAGAACAGTGATTATCTTCGGAGAATGAGACTGTAGGAGATTTGCTCTCTGTGAAACACTTCTGTAATGTTTGAATCTTTCCTACAATAAACATGTTCTTTTTTTAATTACCAAAATACTTTTTAAAATTAAACTACAAAAATAACCCAAGGCTACAAATAGAGGGAAATAAAGTCTTACGGTTGTCATAGATTGGGTTTGAGACAACAGGAGTCAGAGCGGTTGTCAAATTTCCGTGTTCATCGGGGAGGAAAACCTGGAAACACAGTCTTACCACGTTGAGGTCACAGTCTTCAATGTCAAGCAGCTGTGGTTCGGGGACTGAAGAATTGAAAACACAACAATAATGTAGAATGATCACATAGAACCAAAATCCCCGCTAGGCTCCCTCCCTGCCCACTGTATCCAAGAACCTTGAGAAGCCTTCAAATCTGTACTAACAAAATACAACGGTACAAAACCTCAAGAATGCCAGTTTTCCTCACCATCAAATGACCACTGTCTGACAGCATTCATGAAGTCATGGCATGCTCAGGAAGTGACCACCCCAGGCATCTGAGATGAGAGCAGAAGCCCCAACTGACGTCAATAGCTAACGAGATTTGACAAAGCAGCTACAGGCGCACACAACAGACAGCAGGCACTGGGCACCCCGTGTGTCCTCCTGTCACTGTGCTAAGGGCTACATGTCGGTCACCCCCAACCCTGTACAAGAATTACTAGCATCCTCATCTGACAGACGAGGAACTGATTTTAAAGAGATTAAATTACTTGTCCAAAGTTTTATAGCTAAGAAGTGGAGATTCAAACTGCGGTCACTGAATTCAGTCTGTGTTCTGAAAACCTGAATCTACTGGGCCATTTTATATTACGTGATGCATAAAGTGACAGATACAGGAACAGCTACTAAAATTTAGATCAGCATTTTAGGCATGAAACATCAAGAACATACCAGAGAATATACTATATGATGTAAGGTAGGTAGTTTCCATAAGAAACTTCATATGCAAATTAAGTTTAAAAAAAAAAAAAAACCCATGGCAGGAAAATTTTGCAGTTCTGAAGAAATATAAAAATTCATTCTTCATGACAGAATATAATACAGTGAGTTTGTTAAGTTGATATTTGAAACGAAACCCAGCTCCAAAGGAAATGATATTATTGCCTTTTCCAAAAAAAATCAAACTATAGCAATAAATCATAATAGCCATATTTTTTAAAAACTGAAACATACATATTATATAAAAATTTTCACTATACAAAAGTATTAAAATTTGAAATATTAAATTTGAAAATACATGTTAAAACCCAAATTCCCCAGTCTTACAAGCAATAACTAGTAAAACGACAATGTATTTTGGATTTTTTTATTTAAATTATATTCACACCGTCTCAGTAGCTATCTCAACACTTAAAATTACCCCAATACTTGCATTTTGAAGCCCAGCATTTGAAAGTGTCTACAAGAACATATTTGTACAACTAAAAGGTCAAAATATTATAATACCAACACTTGCATCATAGCAGCATACTCCACTGGCACAATTATGCAGGTAACGAGAGGCCTACCTCTTCAAAATCAGTCTCCCCCCCCGTCCCCCCATGGCTGATCTTTCAGAAGTAGATCGCCAGGCCTTTCTTTTGAGGTGCCTCTGGGTGGACTCGAACCTCCAGCCTTTCAGTTAGCAGCCTAGTGCATTAATCATTTGTACCACCCAGGGACTCCTCAAAATCAATTTTTACTGTATTATAAATCTAGAGTTCAAGATATTAATGTCTCTCAATTACAAAGATGATTAATCAGTAGACCAAAAAAAAAAAAAGTAGGTGCTCCTAACGAAGGCTTAAAAACGAATGGAGAGCGAATTGCGGTGCCGTCAAACAGTGGAATAAAACTTAGCAATGAAAGGAGCTAACTACGGATACACGCCGGAATGTGGGTCGATCTCAAAACAGCGTTCTGAGCAGAAGAGGCCAGACTCAAAACTAAACGCTTCCATTTGTAAGAAACTCTAGAAAAAATTAATCTATAGCAACAGAAAACAGATTAGTGGTTGACTGAGGCCACATGCGGGGAGGAAATTAACTGGGAAGGGGCAAAGAAATTTTTGGAGGTGACAGAAATGTTCCATATGCTGATTGTGGTAGTTGGGTAAATGGGAGTAGACATTTGGGTGTGTCTTACTGTACGTAAATTATACCTAAACTAAAGTTCATTTAAAATCTTTTAAAATAGTACATAAAAGGAAAATAAACAAACTGGTTAATAAACCAAAGTTTAAAAACATTTAGCTACACAATCTTTCCATCAAACGGGAGAAATTCTAGTTGCTTCTCCAAAAATCACTTTTTATGGGATTTTACTTTGAATCCTTCCAACGTGTGAGCACAGCCGGCACTCATCAGGATTACTTTAATCTCTGGACGACAGGGTTACAAACCACTGACAGACGTGCTCCGACTGCCACCTGTTGTTAACCCATTGCGGGATCCAGGGTAAGGCTGTCTGTACTTCTCATTCAAGGTCCAGCTCAAAAGCTTCTTTTCTGGGTCTCTGAGACTGAAGGATTACCACCCTCTCCAAATCAGTATGGCACTTGACCCGTACCTCTCTCACGCACTCAGTTTTTATCTTACGTAACAGTCACTACTCATGGGCTAAGTTTCAGGAAGGCAGGATGGGTATCTTGATGTATCTCTGCTAAGCATGGAACTTGGTGGCTTACATATAATGGCTAGTCATTAAACATTTCCTCAATCAGTGAGTGAGCAAAGAATTACACAAAAGCCTGTTGAACAATCAAACATTTAGACATTTTTATACATTGCTGAAGAAAACTGTAAAGTGAAAATTAACAATAGGAAGTTCTGAATTGGTGATGGCAGACTACGTACGTAACTGGGTAATTGGGACCAGCTCTGCCGTGAGAACTAAAAGGGTGTACAAAATATGAAACAAATTTCTCCAAAGCCATCAGAGCGCTAAGAAGGTGATGAAAAAGCACAGGGCCAAGATCTGGGAGAAGTAAAGTCAGAGAGGTAAGTTCAGAACAAACCCGCTGCCGTTCCGTTGGTTCCGACTCCCAGCAACTTACAGGACAGAGAGGAACTGCCCCCACAGGGTTTGCAAGGAGCAGCTGGTGGATTCAAACTGCTGACCTTTTGGTTAGCAATCGAGCGCCTAACCACTGCACCACCAGGGCTCCCAAGTTCAAAATAAGAGGCCACGTTTCCTGTCTATTTTGGAAGAGGTGATTAAGAGGATGAGAGATTATGATAAACTCTCAATAGACTACGTGGAAAAATAAAGGAGCTCAGCCAAGTATGGGGGGTCTGATAAATGCCCCACACTTTGGGTGGGATCCAGAAGAGCTACACCCTAGAAGTAAGGGTGACCTGGAACACACTAGAGCTCAGAGGCACAAAGCCCAGCTTCACATAACCTCAATCACCCGCTGAATTTAGGTGACCTAGCACCTGCCGTAAGAAAATCTTCTGCAGGGAGATGACAGCTTACCTCTAACATACCTTTACGGTTTTTCATACACAATGTGTGGTGTTCTATTTTAAACCACAGACTTACGAGGAGACAAAACAAAGTGATTTAAAAAGAAAAGAAAAACAGCAGGTACAGAATACAAAAGATCAAAATAATAAAGTTTTCAGACACGATTTAAAATAACTACTTAATATATTCAAGAGTTAAAAGATTGAAAGTTTAGTAGACAACTTGAAACTTTTATAAAAAAGGGAACTAAATTATAGAATTGAAAAATACAATAAACTTAAATTATCACCAAATTTATTAATCATTTCATAGAAAACACTTTATCTTTCTATACCCCAAGCACTAAAAGTATAGTTATCAGTATTTTCTACCAAGAGTTTTTAAAGTGTTGCTTTATATTAAAGTCTTTTATCTATCTTCACCTAATTTTTGTATATGGTGTGAGGTAGGGAATTCAAATTAATTAACCATTTTTTTCCAGCTTCATTTATCAAACATTTTCTTCTTTCTTTTTCATCTGACATGTCACCTTATCATACACCAAAGTCCCATATTTTCTTAGGTCTGTTTCTGGTCTTTCAATTCTGCTCCACCAGTCGATTTGTCTGTCTTTGCCTCGAGATCACACTGCCTTGATTAGTGCTTCTTCATAATAAATTCCAGTATCTGACAGAGTTTCTCGTCACTGCTTCTCTTCACAGAAGTATCCTTCCTATTCCTACTTAGAATCATCATATTTAATAAAAAGCCTTGTTGGAATTTTATTTGGAATTATAATGAATCTATATCAATTTGAGATTAAATAATATCTTTACAATATTAAATCTCCCTATCCATGAACATGGCATACCTCTCTCCATTTATTTTCGGGTTCTCTATTATAATAAAATTTTATAATTTTTCCTAAAGAAATTTTGATAATAGTTTCTTAGATTTGTTCCTATGTATTTTATATTTTCAGATATTGCCTTTAATTATGTTTTCTAGTTATTTGCTGCTGATATAGACATGCAATTGACTTTTGTATATTAATTTTACATCCATTCATCCTAATAAGCTAGATCTTTTTGGGTTTTCTCTATAAATAATCCTATTCACTTCAGATAATGACACGTTTACTTCATCATTTCTGATCCTTCTGCCTCTGATTTCTTTTCTGTCTTACTGCACTGGCTGGAACCTCCACCACAATGCTGAATAGAGGTGGTTAAGAGTGGTTTCATTTACTCATTCCTAACTTTAAGGTGAATGCTTCCGATGTTTCCCTCATTTAGAATAATGTTTGCTCTGCGCTTTTTAATAGATACTCTTAAAGAGATCATTCATTTCTTACATATCATTCTACAAAACATTTTATTCTCTAATGTGAAAACTGATACTCAGTTTTAACATACACAAAATCTAGCAAAAAAGAAGCATGAGACCCATCAATTTCTCTTTAATTCCTTTTAAACTAGTTTATAATTCCACTTACATTTGATCAAAAGAATACAAGGTAACATTTGTTCTCCTTCCTTTTTTATGTTAAATTTTTAATGTATCTTTAGAAACAAATATCACTCCTCAGTCCTAAGAGCAAAGTGTGTGTGCAGAAAGAAAAGAATTTAGTTCTTATCAAAAAGATATTGTTATGCTATATTTCTTTTAGTATAGGGATTAGATTTTTAAAATCAATTGTAATATCTACTAGTAGCTCTAGAGGTGTGACATTTGTAAAACTCTAATACTAAATATTACTGAAATAAAAGAAAATAAGACAAAATACACCGTGTATGAACTAACCGTTTTAAGAGCTATGTCTCATTTAAGGAAA